CCCTGGCAGACTTAAGAGAAACTAGATGAACTCATGTTGAAATAAACTTGCCCCAACACTTTAACATTAGTTATGTTTTATTATTTACACAGATTTCAAAAGGCTGGATGTGAAATGTCAGATTTTTACATTAGTATTTATTGCGTCTGTATCACAGCAGAGATGTTACCTGCACTATAAAACAAGAATCCCTTGAAATGCCAAGTATCTTCAAGTATCTCGACTCAAGCGAAGTAAAAGGTTTGTTTTTGTAAAAAAATCTGGTAAATGTAGCTGCATCTGCTCAGTGATACTTCGCTTAGTAAATATCCTTTTTGTCTGGTCTGCACATGAGGCCAATTTGTTATTGTACAGTTCTGAGAATTCAAGTTTTTAATCCATCTTTCAGTTCAAGCTGTGGCCAACAGTGATTGGCTGCGACCACAAAGGTCATCGTAACTCGGGTCTAAATTCAACAAATTTGAACTTTTGCAATGCACCACACATACAACAATGGCAAGGCACACACATCAGTTGTCTCTCTGTGGTAATGTCAAGTGTTTGTAGAACATACGGTGCACATGCTCAGAGGTTTGCTTATGGAGTGTGGGATATAGTAGGAAAAACAAGGGTCTGGCCCTGCACAGAACTTGTTGGGCGGCACATTACCTCATCGCTGTCGTTGAAGCACACCACATACACAGAAATGAGGAAGTGTATGCCAATGCTGACTGGAGAGAGCTACTGAACTCAGCACTGAAAAACTGACTAATACAATCTTCCACATTCAAATAAATATGTGAGTAAGTATGTTTTCTCAACACATATTTACATAAACATTAACGTAGCTAACATTGACGTAGCTATGTAGCAGAAACTGCTACTGTTATATGTGATATGACAAGATGTGACCATTCAGCCAGTCCCCCCTACCGCTACTGCCAACCTGCATGCCAGCACTATCAGTGAGGGCCTGATGATTAGGAATGATGATGCATGTAAATGTGCATTCAGTTTAGCATCATTGCATATTTTCTTTACTGAGCATCTTAACTGCATCCACCATCTGCCTATCAGCAGTGAACATCTTACTGCCCCTCCCAACCACATATGTCAAAGCGGCATATCTCCACTGTCAGACACCAATAAAAAAAAACAACACAACCACAGAATTAGACTGTTAAATATTTAAAGTAGACCGAGCCTATCTGACTCGACTAACCTTCATCCCCACCCACACTATGTATATGGGTTTTCCATATTGTTGTCTCAAGTGCAAAAGTGCATGCATAAACAGTATGCACAGAAAAACGTAAGAGACATTTGCATATGTCTGGAATGATTAAAAGCAGTTACAGATGGAGTGTGTGTAATTTTATTTTATTTTTTGGTGGCTGACAGTGGAGATATGCCAGTTGGAGGTATGTGGTTGGGAGGGGCAATAAGGTGTTCACTGCTGATAGGGAGGAAAGTCAGTTTTGATACTTGGCAAAAATATGAGGCGACACTAAACTGAATGCACATTTACAAACGTCATCGTTCCTAAAACACCCCAGGCCTTCACTGCTGGTGCTAGCAGGAGGGTGGCCACAGAAGAAGCCCCTTGGTGCATGCTGGAGGTCAGGGCGTGGCAACATGTGTATCCAAAAAGGTTATAAATCCAGCTTCCAGTGAGGGGCACTTGGGTGGCAGTGATGGGAAGGGAGTGGATCATATCTTTGCGGCCTTTAGGCAACACTGTGCAGATCAGTGACGGGTCACAGCTGAGTCACTGAAAATCATTATTATTATTATTATTATTTTTATTATCATTATCATCAATATTTGACTTGTTATTCACTTTTGAGTGAATAATCCTGTAGTTATGACTTTGGGGGTGTTTTATGTCTTCAGGTTCAACTGTAATCACAATGAATTAATACTATTAGCCATTTCTTCAGTTAAAAATAACCAGTAGGATTCATGTCTGCAGCCTGGAGAGAAACAGGTTTCTGCCAGGGGGACCTGTCACTATGTGCATGTAAGCGCAGCTGTCAGTGCAAACCTGAGCTGGTAACTGCAGCTTTAAGGTCACAAACTGAGGACAATATTACTTAGGACAATATATACAAATAAAGGACATTATATCTGTGTAGAACATACAAACTAAGGACAATATTTTTTTTGTATGTAGTGGAGTTGAAGAACAAAGCCCACACCATGTGACGTTTCTGGTCTTGACATTTTTAAGCTTCCTGTGTAGCTAACTGTCTTAACTGTGAGTGAGTGGGAGAGCACATTTTCAGGGCAGAGTGATGAAGAATTGTGATTGGTGCAAAGTGGGTTTAACAGTAAAGAGCGAATGTAACTACAGTACACCCACATCATAAGCTTTAAAACAGTTTGTCATAACATGCAGTAAATAATGTTAAAAGAGTTAGCTAATGTTTCAACTACTGAGCTTTTCAACCATGTCTGAAGAATGAAGAAGGATAAGATTTGCGCAAGATATGCCACTACTCAGGGTACTGATGTTTTCTTGATGAAACCCTTGACAGGTTGAAGGCTAACAAACCTGCTGCCCATCAATTGCATGCATGTTTTATAACTTGAAGCTGCTCTCTCTGTGTATTTTGGTCATGCATATCACCGTTTCTTGCCCATCATTGGCAACTGTTTATCAGTGAACAGCTTGAAACCACTGGCAGGGTGAATGCTCCAGCGCACAGATACGCACATGTTCTTTGGCACAAGACAAGCAAAATAACTGTTTATTACAACACTGCCACCTACTGCCGCTAGTGGTTCAAAAATCCACAGGGTATCTTTCATTTCTTGAAAGTACAGCAGGCAAAATCTGCCAGCAACCAACATCTCATCAAGCAAAATGGAAGTCACAGTCAGAGAAGCCTCAACATTTTGGTAAACCAGAGATGCATGTCTGGTGTTGTCTGAGTTGACTGAGCTCATCAGGGTTGACTGACAGTGTTGACCAGGCAAAAGCGTTGTGGATTGTGAAGACATTGAATGGTCAGAAGCGGGAGATCTCACTCTCTCTCTGTTGCCACTAACCTGTAACCTGCAACATCCTGTGTATAAAACATTACCACACTGCTAACCCGTCATAAATCTGTGAGTGTGCAGGTGCTCACAAAGCTTGCAAGCCTGTGTCTAAATGTTTGCAGGCAGAAACAAAATGTACAAGTCTACAAAACTAAGATTACAGATGTACAGATGCACTACAGATGAACTTCAGTGCACAATGATTGAATGTTTGGGGTTCATTGTTACCTTTGCCAAGGAGGTTATGTTTTGACCTGTGTCCGTTGGTTTGTTAGCACATTTACGCAAAAAGTACTGAACTGATTTGCACTAAACTTGGTGAAGGGATGGGCAAAGGAAGTCAAATTGATTCTTGCGAATAGGTATTTGGCCCCCCTCACAAGGTCCCGGGAAAACCAGCTCTTTGAAATCCCTCAGTGTAGGACTTCCCACACAGGCAAGGTTATGTAATGCACCATATGGATGTAGACTAGGGCACAAAGCTCATGCAGATGTTTCATCAGTGTAGATTTGCTTATGTTAAACCTATCTGCAACACCGCTATGGGACCCCTGGTTGGCCAAAGACCATAGACAGGCCAGGGCACTGTTTGCCAGTGGGATTTCGCTTTTATATAGATTCTGATAGATCGGACAAAGGATGGTTATAAAATCCTAGGTAGCAAAGGCAAGGTAATACACACCTCCACTTGTGCTTCAGAAAGCCTGACATGAGCGCTATACTCAGGCAGACTGATGAGAGGGATGACATCCTCCATGAAACATTCCTAGAGAAGGAAGAACACAAACTTGACACCACAGCACAGACTGTAATATCAATCTGAACTGATTGCATGTAGTTTCTATAGTACCACAACTTCTCTGAACAAACCCAGTTATTTCATCAGTATAGGCTGATGGCTACAAAAGAAAGTAAGCCTTCCCTCAGTGGATCTGCTAGCTATTTCTGTAGCATAGCACTGATGAATTTAACAATAACCAACAGTAACGACTGTTCTGTCAACTTTAGGATCGAGGATGAAAGGGCCTGACAGGTTGTACGTACTATGCCTGTTGCTGTGCTACGCTTCCTTCTTTAAATTGGTCATCTAACCAACCCTGATTCTTACATTTTAAAACTAGGTTAAAGAAATCTGGAACATTTGGTTTGAGCATTTTAATGCAGTCAGCACTCTAATCAATTATAACAAGACAAACACATTTAAGCATTACTTAAGAAATGTTACCTGCGTTGTTGATTGAATTCGCCATGCACCGTGATGAGGATTTCTTAAACATTGATTTCTTCTGCCTTAAACAAAAAGGTAAACGCCGCGCCCGCCATTTTGTTAACGTTGCGTCAACGTGCGTCACGCTACGCGGAAGTAGACTGTTGTCGACTGTACTGCAGACCTTTTTTTCCACACCTGCAGTCACTGGTGGTTCATGTTGACCATCAAATCAGGTGAAATCAGCCGCAGGTCGATGTCGAACCTTATCTTACCTTATGATTTAAGCTATGATTGATTGGTATTAAGGAACACAAGGTGTGCCGTGTAAACATTCCCCTCACCACCACCACCACCACCACAGCAGCAGCAGCGGCCAGGAGTGTTGAGACAACGCAGGTTTGGTCCACCCATTAAAAATGCTGAGACTTGAACCACAGTGTCTCCCCCAATGTGAAGGGGAAGTTAACTCCACACCTTAAGTAACTAATGAACTTCAACGACATAATCGACCAGACAGGTCCCATCGCTAATAGGTGCCAAAGCAATGCTATATGTGTAGGCCCCATGGCTTGCTGTGAAGGGGACTTGTGTAACAATGCCATACCCACTGGTATCCTCAGCCATCATCACGCTGTTTCTCTGAGAATGTTTAACTTTTTTTCTTAGCAAACTTGTAAAATTCAGGAAGAATTAAAAAAAATAATATGTAAAAGCTGTAAATGATTACAGATCAATATTTCTTTAAAAAAAAAAAAAAACACACAATATGTTCAAACATTGAATTGTTTAATAATGTCAGTTCTGCATCACTATTTACAGCAAAAATCACTTTATGAAACCCTAATTAGAAAGATGAGTGAAAAAACAGGACATAAAACATGAACAATCAGGAGCAAATCAATAGAGTGCATGTTAGCTGTTGATCCTGAGGAATATTGAAGCAGACCTTAAAAGTTTGGACTTGCTCATCATTGCAAAGTGCTGCAGTGATGAGCATTGAAAGGTCAACCAATATTCTAACAACTTCAGACAAATAAAATGCAGAAAAGATTTGGTTTGCTCTGTATCAGAGATTAATCTGACTGAATCTTTTTATTCTTTATTTCTTTATGTACTCAGACCAGCCAAAATATTCTGTATTTGTAAAAGAGAGCATTAGGCTACACTTTCTTTTTAACAGGTTGGAAAAAAGGAAATCAGACAATGTGGCATATATGGCACACTGACAATCAAACATTTTTTATAGGTGAATAAAGTGAAGACAATCTACAGATAATGCAAAATTATAGTGAGAATTACAAATATGATCCTAAATTAGTGTAGTTTGTTCACGGGAGCTTAAACACAGATGCATTCATATAATATAATCAGTGCGAAATGGAGCGTATTGCTCTTGTCATGGGAAAACATCTGACTTCAGCTTTGGTGATGTTTATGTTTTCAATTCATTGTAAGGATTACAGAGTTTTGCTTAGGGTTACACATTTCTCTGACCCCTTTGGAAGTTTTTCACAAAACATCAAACATACTGTATAATGTATGTATGTATAAATAAAATGCAATACATATATTCAGTTTTTTGACAAAATACTCTTTTAAATCCCTTTAAATGATGTTTATCGGTAGACATCTCACCTTTCACATTTTGCACTTTGTTATCTATATACAAATTATAAAATATAAAAGCATTGTGAAAATGTGGTGGTTTTGTCATCTAATCTCTCTACATGCCTGCCACAAAGACATATGTGTGATAGTACTCCAAGTTATAATTTTTTTAATTTTTTTATAGAAATGTTGCCGTCATAGTTGCTGTGTGTAAGCTTTGCAACATTTCTGACTTTGGCTCCATCTTGTGGTGGTATCAAGAATGCAAGAAAGCAGCACAAAGACTACCACACCATCATAATTATATGGAGGATGCTCTAATCCCATAACAATTATTTATATATTTTTTCTTTAATTTCAAGCAAGGCATTTAGATGACTTAACCAGTGTTGTGCTTTACTCTCATGCCAGCAATCACTGTGTAAGAGACAAACAGATTATTCAGATGGCAGATATCTCATTTTAGAATAAATTTCCTCAAGTACTTTGCAATGTCAGTAGTTAAAAACGTAAAGGTGCAGAGTATCAAGCATATCACTGTGTGCAGAAGTGGGTGTTTTATTACCCCACAGGTTCTCTGTGCTAAGGCTGGCTTTAGTTTAGTTGGCCTTAGTTCAGCTGATAAGGCAAATTAAAGTCACAAGGCAAACAAGGACAGCACATTAAAATACGGCATCTTTGAGAACTATTCTTACTTTACAAGGCAAACCAGCAGCAGTTTTATAATAAATCTATTTCTTGCTGTGGATCAACAAAATTAATTTCAACATAACATGTTTTCTTTTAAATCTGCCCTGAGCTGTGAATTTAGATGAAAGCTGAAAAAACATAAATCACTAGATTTTGGCACTGAAATGACAGAATGGCACTACAGGTCAGGGAATGCTGACATAAAAATATTCACAGTCAGTCTGTTGATCACATGTCTGATGACAAGTATCCCCTAATTTAAACCCAATCACATTAATTTACTGTATATACACTTGAATAACACCCATGAATCAAAAGAAAGCAAATCCATAGTGTTACTAAAACCGAATAAATATAAAGCTCAAGAGACTAACAAATGAGTCATATGTTGTCACGGTTGCTTAATTAAAGCATTAATTATTGATGCACGTTAGCTTAAACAGGCAGTTGAGAACGTAAAATCACAATACAGCAGTTGTCATGGTGACATAAGGTTAGACATGCCCCCAACTCAGAGTGCATATTTATTATCGGTTCAGTCTCCAACCCTGTCAAACCACAACAAAGAAACACATCAGTTACCTTATCGCACAGTTATTCCATCTGCCCTGAAATGCCGTTCACACAGAAGGAAATAAAACCGACTATCACCCTAAAACCAAAACCAGTCTAGCTATAGGACTCAGACTTTGAACAAAAATGTTATATCTATATGTCCATTAGGTGGAAGACTGCGGTGGTGATACAATCTGAGATCGGTTTTACTATTGGCTGTGGAAGGCACATGAGGATGAGGATCAGATTAAGGATGGACCAAGAGAATCAGAGGTGAATACAAGTTTCTTTCTAATTCTTTGGGTGGACGGTTGTAATCTGCAGGCAGAAGTCCAGACAAAGAGCAGGTCAGAGTAAACGTTACGTTAATCTTTACCAAAATCACATTCTGCTGGGGCAACAGATCCCTAGTGGTAATTTCCCTTTGAAAAACAAATATCTGCATCTATTTCTTGGCATGTGTGCTCACAAGAATGTATATGTGCATACTGTATGTGTGTGTGTTCGTGTGAGAGTTTATGCGTCTTTAACTCTTTAAAGTCTTCAATGAACCCAAGTAAAGAAAGCTACCTCATCTAGGTCCACGGGGTAGTCAGTGAGGTAAATGGGGCCTTTATCAAAATGTTCCCCCTTGTAGCTTCTCCATCGTCCTGCAGGCAGGTAGATGTCCCTCTCCTGCTTTCCTGGCTCTAACACTGGAGCCACCATCAGGTCATCCCCGATCAGGAACTGGGAGTCGATCTTATAGGCCGCCTCGTCATCATTGGCGATCCACCAAAGGGGCCTTACGATTGGGTCTCCTGTATCAAGAACCTCACCTGCCAGTTCGAGAACCCTTGGGGCCACCAGTGTCTCATGAAGCCCTGTGAACTTCTGTGCTATCTGTACCACCTGTGGTTGAATGCACAAAATACAGCATTAGCATCATGTCACGGAAAAGACGGTGTAGCATTATGTCTGGTTAGAGAGACGCACAGTTTCTTTTCGACTCCTGGAGGGAGGCACAATGAAGTCCGAATTAATATAAATCGTTTTTCTTTATTCATATAAATTCATATAATCTAGTAAATAATAAATTATTATTATATTGGTTATCTACATTCCATAATAATGTTAGTAAACCAAAACCACCCACATAAATTGCTGCATTATGATCAATCACCTATATTTTCCCTCACTGAGACCTGATAAACATTGTTATAATTCTATATAAAAAAAGCAGCCAATTTGGGCTTGAAATGTACTTTTTCTAAATATAATAAGGAAACTAAATTTGAAGGCAGCATTCTACAGCATCACCAACCTGCAGAGGACAAATGTGCATGAGTTTCACACCAGTTACACAAAACATTTGCCCATTGTAACGACCGAATTTAGGCATCAACAACAGAAAAAATCTCTTATTGTGTAAAATATTTTTAAATTTTTTCCAACTGTAAGATATCCACTGTTCTACTGCGCACCTCATCGTCATAGGCCCACGGTGGTATAGAGAACTGCATGGCGGGCATAAACGCTGACAGCTCCAACCATCGGATATACAGCTCTCTGTCTGGCAGACCATTTTTGCCATCTAGGCCACCTAAAATTCAACACAGGTGTCAGACATTAGACTTAGGACCACATCAAAGATAAACACAGCCATCTTCTGACTCTAAAACTCTCTGTAGCCATATGTAATGGAGTCTCGTACCTGTGGTGCGGTTGGGGTATGCGTTTCCTCCTATCATATCAGGTAAGACAAACTGGTAGCCTAGAATGCTAATCGTCAGAACAGTTGGGATGATGGACTTGAGGCCGAGCTCATAACCCCATACTGAATCTCTGTCGATGATCCTGAAGAAGCAGGAGATGTTCTGACTCTGATAACCCACCCTCAGCTCAGCACGCTCACTGAAGGGTACGGCCATCTCTGTGTAGCGGCGGGTGAAGGTGGAGGGGTCAGAAAGTGGGACCAGGGTGCTAAACTGGTGGGGGAGGTAGCTTGTCTCTCCTGCATCAAACTTAAAGGAGGTCACATCATAGCGGGCTGTCAGCATGCGCAGATGCGAGGAGTACCACTCACGGGCTTCTGGGTTTGTAAAATCCAAGATTCCTCCGATGCCGTTCCACCAGCGAACCAGAGCAGGCAGCTCACCGCTCGGCTCCCGAACAAACAGCCCCTTTTCCACAGCAACTCCAAAATTGATGGAGTCATAGTTGATAAAAGGATGTGTCCAGAGCGACACCTGAAACTTGTCCTCTCTGAGTTTGTCAAACATCCCACTGGCATTGGGGAACTTCTGCGGGTCAAAGTCAAACTCTCCATAGTCGGCAGTGTAGCGGTCGTCCAGCTCCAGATGGGAGCATGTGAAGCCATGTTTGGTGATGTCAGAGGCATAGCGCAGCAGCTTCTCCTGAGTTACAGATGTTTTGTGGAGAGCCCATGTGGACCACACTGGATGTTTGAAAACTTCAGTAGACGGGACCTTGATAGGCTTTGGGAAATACCGACGCACCTGTGCAAAATGCATACAGAGCAGAGAGTTACTACAGGCGTATTCACATCAACAGCTTTTGGTTCTTCATCAGGGAAAAGGTTTGTTTGTCTTTTGTGTTTGGTTAATTTGATTGACATTCTTCTATCTTAGCACAGTGACTGGAAACACCTTGCATTGCTCTGGAGGACATCACCATTCCCTGCCAATAAATAGTCAAATAATTAAAATAGATAATAAAACAGTACAGTAATTCAAAACAGAGACAAGTAGATCTCCAGCTACAACCAGGCATTGTTTGGGTTTTGATTTATTAATTAAACAATTAAACTGTCAGAATTGTTATTGATTAATTTTCTGTCTTTAAACCAGTTAAAAATACATCAATAATCAGATGAACATTAGTGCCAGCCAAGACTGCTGCTTGGCTCTGGTATTTCCGATCATCTTCACTCCAATTTTGCTTTTAGTTAATTTTGTTATGCTATATTGGACTTTACAAGCAGAGAAAGTTGGCCTTACTCTGTAAGTGCACCACAAGTTGCCTGGAGGAGAACCAACACATGCAGTTTCAAGTGTTCTTGGTGCAGTCAATTTGTTCCAACAATTCCCCCATACCCCAAACAATCTCAACTAGGAAATGCTCCTGGCTTAAAATTTACTACTTTATCCACACTTAGTTTAAACAGATGGTTCTTCAAAAAAACGTAACTACGCCGTACTTAAATGAATAATAAAAGTTATACAGGAAAGGAGAAGGGTGAATTTGTTCTAACCATAAAAACAAAATGCACAGTATGCCTATACTCACCATGTATTTATGAATAGATGTAACATCTGACCCAACACACACTCTATAGCTGAGTTCAGGTAAGGCCTGCTGTCCATCTGGTGGTCTGAAGGGAGAGTCCTGGTACCGGGCCTGAAACCTGAGTGTTCTGTCCTTCTCTGACCAGCCCAAATGAAATGGTACCGAGTCATTTATCTTGATCGCAGTTGCATTCGACGACAGCCAATAGCGTTCGAGAATTCCCCCAAAAGCATTCCGATTGGAGTAGATGTCACTGGTGATGAAAGGCAATGGTTCTTCCTCTCCCTGGATCCTAATAGGCCAGTACTGTGTTGCTGTTTCTGCCCCTCCATACCAATGGGAATCATTGTACGCCATGGCGTGCTCCACCAAGCGCTCATTTTGCAGCTCCTCCCAGCGAACACGGTAACACATTACTGTGTCCTTTGGTCGAACCGTCTGGATAAAGAAGTTGAGCTTGCCAGAATCTGACTGAGTGCAGCTCAGAATACTTCCATCCTTTGAGCATGAGTCCAGATCCAGAGTGCCAGACCTAGAATGGTGTGTGGACAGAGGTGAGGAAAATACAAAGGAACTGGTTCAGCACAGCATTAGTTGAGCAAGTATCATTAGCATCATATTTCTGTATTGCTGAAAAGATATCAAGCTCGCCAGAATGTTTGAGACTATTAGAATAGCAGACAATAACAGACAATATTATAAGCTGCATTCAATTGCTGTAGTTCTCTGCACATCCAGGGACTGTACTATGGCTATTTCTGTCAATGTGAGCTGTGCTGATAAAGGACGTGACTAAATCAGTCTTCCCTAAGGGTGTAATCATTTGTCTGTCTCGTCTGGTTTTCCATTATCCATCTAAACATTGCAGACAGGCAGCCCTTTAGCAAGGCTCAGCACACAAAGAGCAACAACTGTGCTAGGACAACAAAAAAAAATGGTTACAAGAGTTATTATTAGCCAAGATATACTGACTGTTTCGAAAAGGGTACCAAAGAATTACGAAAGTTTCTATTTTTCTGTTCACTCTCTGTTTTTATTGCTCAGAAATTACCAAAGCATTAGTAGGATAATCCTCAGTCTACCTGACATTTTCTGTTTTATTTTATTCTAAATTGAATAGCTTTGGGTTTTTTGGGTTTGGTCAAAATAACAAAAGACAAAGTGAGAAAAAAATGAATAAGTCACCTTGGTCTCTGGGTAATTGTTTTCAGCATTTGTTTCTGCAATCAACAGTGAACCCACCTGAAGGTCATAGTGAAGATGACAGCCCCCGCCTGGTTACGAATGATAAAACCGTCCTTGTCAAGGTCTAACAACTCTGTCTTCAGCAGCTCAGCTTTACGGAGAGACGCTGAGTAGTAGCACCAGGCAACCACAGCAGCTAGCACCAACACACAGCCTAACATTCCTGCCATCACCAGGGGTCGGCCTTCGTTAGCCAGTTTCTTCTTTAGCGGAGAGGCTCCAGCTCCCCCAGCCATCTGCTGCTCCCCAGGAGCCACCGGGACAATCTGATACATACTGAAGACTTGAGGCAGTGAGGTGTGCACAGAAACAGGCTTAGAGGAGGTGAGACAGCTGCAGTGAACTTGCTGTCGGTGTTGGTGAAAATGTCTGGAATTTATCTTCACACTGGCAGCAGTGGGGGTGAAAAAAAAACCTAATGTCTACCTGCTGATCTTTAGCAACGTCTCCATTTCTGAATGTGGTCTGATTTGTCCCAAGCTGCAAGACAGACAGAGGCAGACAGAGGTCAATATTCAGTTTAAGAAATGGTACAATGTGTAGAATCACAAGTCGAAATGTGTCAAAGACAGGAAATAAGCCACTACCAATATCATCACCACACAGCCTATAATAAAATACACAGACCACATCAGTTTTAATCTGGTAAATAGCAGGTAGCCAGGCTCTGAAGCCACACAGGCACCGATGGTAACAGGACCAATGAAACCATAAAAACGGGCTATGATCAGAGAAAGTCCAGACACCATGTCAGCATTGTTCAATCACATTTATCTCTCGGGTAAGAGCAACTTGGATATGACTAAATAATATCTATCAGCCGCAGCTCTGAAAATAACTGTACTGCAGGAAGCCTACAGTTTTCAGATAGAGCATGGGCCAATCATCCACAACAGAACCCTGTTTATCTTCTCCACAGGTATCATTATGTTCCAGCTCAACATGCTTATTTTCTTCTGATGAAGGTTAGTGGCAATGCAACAGTCAGGGAAGGAAACCTTGCACATGCACACCCTGCAAAAACTGGGTTCCTGTACTTAAACTAACAGACGTTCAAGACAGTTTACTCAAGTCTCAAGTCATTTAATAAAGATCCTTTAGCTCCTCTGTATATACGGTTACAGACAACACTGTGCCATATTGTTAATATTGTAAGATTTAGAAACGTTACAATATGATCAATTTTAATTTTAATCAGTCATGTATTTCATACCACATACACAAACTTAACCCTGCTTTATTCCAGCTTCCCAGTGCCCACCCTGCTTGGCATCAGCAAGTTATCCCCTCACTTCCTGGTCCAGATCTGACCCATTTCAATTCTCTGGATCAATTCTTACTTGGTTTATTGTGTTTTAAAAAAAAATCAACAGCCTTAGTAGCAAGAGTCTTTGATTTTCAAGTCCCAAATATTATCAACCACTGCTTTCTAAGGAAATTATAAATTAAATAAACATAAACATAAATTATTTTGACAATCGTTACTACTCACACAATGTTTTACTATATATAGTGATTCTAGGTCTATTTTAGGACTTACTACTGAATTCATGGTTCAAAATGAGAAGCAATGTGGCAGTCTACAGATCCATTGCAGTTTGCCTCTCAGATTGTTCATGAAAGTTAGCCTCCACACTGTGACTAGAAATCCTTTTTAATTTTGCTGGTTTTTGAGACAAAATACATGCAATGCGAAGTGCTCACTGCTTTCACATACAGCAGAAAATAATCAATCTGGTCAGTGCAGTACTTCAGGCTGTACACTGAGGGCAATGCATGTTTTCTTACCGAGTAGCGAGCTCATAAGCACAGACACACGTTCCCCTCATAGAGACTGCTAATTATTTTGTGTTCACATTAGTTGTAGCTTAACACCTAAAAGAATGAAGACCTAAAAACACCGTCATATGACTTTGCTGTAATGGTCACAGTGGACACGAACAGCGCCTACACATGCATATTAGCACGTAATTTTCCACTCCAAAGTCGTAGTGACATAGAGTATAGCCAAACATTTCCAATTCCTGATCGATAACACACAGGCACTCGTCGACACGGCTGTTGACGCTGTGTCGGGACATTACTAACCGGCTCTACCAGTTGTCACGAATTGTCTGAACGGTCGTGTTCACAGTTAACAGCTATGTTTTCCACGTCAATATCACACAAATAACTTAGAAAATGCATACGCTTACATTCAAAGTACCCTTCGCAGCGCTGCGACCATAAAAAGAGTTATCTCACCTCCGCATCTGTCTCCCTGGGGTCAATGTGTAGCTACAGCTGTGAGCGCAGTAGCTTACTGCGCAGCTGCGGAGTGGTTTAAAGTTCTACTGCCCTGCCCATCAACGCACGACCTCGAAGCGGATTCGCCCATGAATGTGTCACTCAAGTACTGCACCTTCGGTTGGCTTCTGGGAAATGTAGTGTGGAAATAAAGTAGTCCTCTAAAAAGAGATTCCTAAATCGGCAACAACTTTAAAGTTAATGACCTTCCAGCAAATGATATTGAAATGAATAATTAACAAAAAAAACAAAAACAAAAAAAAACGGGTGAACAAATGTTAACAATTCTAGCAATGTATTTAAATTAACGTATATATTTTGTTTATCTTAGCTACCGTTTTCCATGGAAACCACTCAAGTATCAAAAGTAATTCGTAGTATTCTATGTTTTTTCGGTTTTTATCTACCTACAAAATGCCGTGAATATATGAATATATAGCCCCATTTTTTGTAAATAGTAACTGTTTGTTTTTGATTACCTTGAAGGGTGACCGGGCAGTTTTCTTGCGGTTTGTAAGTAGCAATAGCAGAATCTGGCAGGAATACGCTGTGTTGCCAGATCAGCTGGCACAGGAGCAACATTGCACAGCTTGTCCTGAACAAACTACAGGGGTGAGATCATAGCAAATAATAATGTCATTGTGACTGTGACATGCTTTCTACCACTGGGTGACAGCAACAAGCTATAAATGACACAATGAAAGAGCATGCTATTGCTAAAAAAGTACTCTTCTGTTTTTCGTCCTTGTTTATCTTCTTAGGTCATTTAATCAGCAATAATAGTGATGGAAGCACCAATGACTGAGTTAACCTGTATCTGTAGCAATAATATGCAGAAGCTATAGCAAGTTCCAGTGACATTATGCTAGTTGTACATGTAGTAGCATTAAGCTGCAACAGAGGTTAAAACAGAAAAGTAACATTTCAGAGGCAGACGAGAGAAGGCCAGATAGGTGCTGTTAAGGCTGGATTTCCATGTGTGCAGCTGCCTCAGTGCCCCAGACCATCAAGAGGCCCAGATTCACTACATGCCATTTGATTTTGGTGATTTCATAACTGCAATTTTGTTGGGGAGTATGTAACTCAGCAGTCATTAATAAGAGAGTCCCGGGGTCAGTTGATCCATTAGTTGATTGAAAGTATTTACAGAAACTACATTGATAAGCAATTAATTGTTTACTTTTTTTCTCCAAAATGCCAAATATTCACTACTTTCAGTTTTTCACTTGTGAGGAGATCATGATTTTCTGTGTTGTGTGACAGTAAACTGAATATAGTTGAGTTTTTCACTCTTAACTGGACAGAACAAACAATCTGAATAGATCACTGGGCTTTGGGAAATTGTGAAGGCATTTTTTTACTGTTTTCTTTACAAATTGAATGACTAATCAGAAGAATAAAAGGCTGATTAATCAATAATAAAAGTACTTTGTTAGTTTCAGCCCTCAACATGTCAATATTCCTTAATAAAATTATGTTAAATTAAACAATCTTAAAAACACTGACAGAAAACTCTATAGGCTTTATATATACTATACTATACTATACTATACTATACTATACTATACTATACTATACTGTAACCTTGTCCCAGAAAACATGAGGCCATCATCGATCCAACAATAATTTTTTTCACTTACGGGTTATGTGGCAATGGAAATTGTAGCCTAATCGTAAAAGTAGAAACAGAAGTAATGGGAGTAACACTAGCATTTGTGTGCAGTACTAACCATAAAAGTACCACTTACTGCGAGAGCAGCTGTAGGAGTGGTGATAATGGTTGCAGTAACTTAATAGCGGTGTGTGTAGCAGAAATAATATTTGGCAACTCTGTTTCAGAGCCTGCAGTGACCGAAAAATCACAAGAACTAAAGTGACTCATCCTCGGGAAGTTCAGGTTGCAGAGGGGAGATGCTGCTGATGCTGGTGTCCCTGCTTTGCTGTGTCCCTGCAGTCAAGGCCTGTCTGCAGTGTGACCGCAGGGTCAGGCTCCTACATGAAGACTTAGTCCTGTCTGCTCCCACTGTGGTCGACCAGATTGAAATGAAAAAGATTTGTGACCACGCTTATGAGACCTACAGAGAGACCAGCCGGGAACGAAAGGGCATCATTGGTGAGCCTGGTTAAGCACAATAAGACATACAGTATATGAATGTGGAATATGCTGATATTTCACATAAAGCAACTTATATCTCATAGTTTGACTCCTAATTGCATTACATTTTTCTAAAATATTTTCAGGCCACTAAGGATTATTTTATGACGTGGAGATTGAAATATTCTGGATAAAAGTCTGAGTGAGATGCTTAAAGTGTAAAATAAATATAATCAGTAAAAGATGACTAACTGTTTCCCATTTCTCAGATCCCACCACTCTGTACAGAGCCAGAACTGAGTACCAGAGTGAGTTTGATCGATTTCTGAAAACCCCGCACACTGGTGAGAAACAGAGAAACATCATTCATCTTAACCACTTGTTCCAAAAGGATACACGTAGTTGGAAACCTGGAACAAAAACTGTAGCAAAACCTCTGTGATTATTCCATTGTGTCATCACCAAATGTATTTACAAGTGACACATTAATCAAGACAAACTCAATGTCCACCAGATTTTTAAGACTAAACTTGTTTTCTTTTTAAAGGATCTGTAACATTTGAAGCCATTCAGATCATGGAGAAGGGCAGGAGGATATTGGAGAAACACTTGGATGCCTTCATCCATGATGGTAATTGGCATGAATAACAGTGAGTGTTCTGCACAGTACGAGGCAGGGCACTTTGTATAAGTCATTGCCAAGTACAAGATGAATTAGTTTCAGATCATTTGTTTGTCTCTCCCTCAGGATTGTGCCCCAACAAGTGTGGTAAGTTTGTTCTGTCCAGTTCTTCCATCTGTTTTGCTTTAAATCCTTGTAGAAAGACATACAGTACTATATATAGAGTGCGTGTTTACAGGACACGTGTGTATGCATGTGTGTGTGTGTTTCTCAGGGCTTCTGAATCGAAGAGTAATGGATTGCTTCTCTTGCCGCTACAAGACATACATCTGTCACTCACCCTCTGGCCAGCAGGACTGCGGTGGTATATTTTTATGTTTGTTTGTGCGTTCATGTTGTCGGTGGGTGGGTGAGGGTCGCACCTATGCTCCGTTCCTCAGAGTACATGGGCTGGTGCTGTCACGGGTGTGTAAATGTGTTCTTAAGCGAGGAGGCACTGCTGCTGCCTGCCCATGTGCGGGGCTAATGAAGAAGATTATTCAAGTAATCCAGATGTAAATGAATGAAGCATCTCTCTCTCTCTCTCTCTCGTCTCCCCCCTCTGACACTATCTCCAGTGTACCCGGTGCAAGCTGAGGAGGGAGGCCAGGCAGTGTTGAACTGTTTTCTTCCATGGCATCGTCTTCTGTTGGGAAAACCAGAATACCACTACTCCTGGGCCCCTGGAGTCCCAGGATCTAAAAAGGTCTCTCCGCCATTACTGTCTCCCTATCAAATGACAACCAAAACGGAAATATAAGTAGCAGCTTACCACTTTTAAACCACTTCAGTTCAATTCAGTTTTATTTGCATAGCGCCAAATCACAACATCTTAAGGCACTTAACAGTTTTACAGTTTTACTTTCAATGTTTATAGAGAGAAACCCCACAGTTCCCACAATGAGCAAGCACTTGGCGACAGCGGAAAGGGAAAACTCCCTCCAACAGAACCAGGCCCGGGCTGGGCAGCAGTGTCGACCAGTTGGGTTGAAAGGAGAGAAATGGATGGGAGGGGGTCAGCAATTAATAGTAATACAACTACTAATAATAAAAATGTTAATGATAATATAATGAGCACTGTCGTGGCAGATCTGGATCCTGCAGCTCCCAGGTTCAGAGATACCTACAGAATGAAGACAGACACAGAGAGACAGAGAGAAGCACAAACTACAGGAATACAAAGTTAATGACATGCAGTAGTATGATGTAACTACTGCATGTAGAAATTGAATTCCAAATGTATCACTTTTTAACCACTTTGTATACTTCCTGATTCCCATGTATTACGTTATTTCCTTTATTTAGCTCCGCTCGTGAATATGTAGGTTGACTGTCTGCTAGTTATTTCACCCACCAAGTATCACTTCCTAATTTGTACATGCAGCTGGATGAGAGTGATTTCAAAGCCGTGGTAGTGACAGACGACTCATCTGTGGTCTTAAATCAGCTGCATGTGGATGAACAAGGAACATATCGCTGCACTCTGCGGCGCCAAGATGGAACCGTCTTCTACCGAGTGACCTTCCTGCTCACTGGTAAAGTCACAGCGCTGAGACACGTCATCACTGAGAAATTGTCAGATAATTCAGCTCTGAAAGGGCAAGTCTGAGTTAATTTTCGCATGTTTGAACAGTTGCCATAAAAGAGAACAAACACGCCAAAAAAATTGTCAAAACTATTTTTAGAAAGATGTCTCAGTCTACATATTCTAGTGCAGTTGCTCTTAAATTTTATTTATCAAGTCCATGGGGATACTGAAGGATATCCAGGAAGCAAAATTAGAAACGCAGCGGTTCATTTTCAAAGAGATTATCTCACTACATATTCATAGTAAGGCTTATAATCAGTTACTGTGGATGTGAGTGACTGTGTCTGTGGTTTGTATATGTTGGGTGGATGCAGGGTGTGTCATTTTTTTTAAGACAGTGGGTGGTTTTTTTTTTTTTTGCTCTTTCCTTGGATTTTATTTAGTGTATTCTTCTATACATGTTCCCTATCTGTGTATGGATTCTAATAAAAGGCACATTTGGTTTACCCTCACTGAAATGTGCTATATGTACTGTAAATGAAACTGCCAACCAGAGGATGCTTGAAAACTATTTTTAAAAAGTGGTTTCAGTCTCACAACTAGTACCTAATGTATACAGGTCCAACAGTAGCTGCTAAATTAACAAAATAAATCTCCAGAATCCTTCTATATTTTTCCTATACACAAAAAACACTCTATAATTCTATTAACAGATCTCTGTTATTTCCATCCTCCTTCCCCACAGTCTCCCCTTTGCCTGACCAAACTCACCGACCCCTCGTCACTCTGCCCTCTCTGCCTCATGGAGACAAGTACTCACCTTTCCAAACTCCTGAGGCCCTGCTGGTGCCAGTCATCGCCATGGTTACTGCTCTGAGTCTGGCGGCAAGCGTAGGCCTCACAGTTGTCCTGAGGTGAGAGGCAGTAAGTGGGTGGGAGGGGAGAAAGAGAGGTCGATGCAAGACAAAGAAAGTTGTCATGTTGTCATGTAGTCTGAGGATTGAATTGTGATTTATGAGGCTGAGGTGTATGTCCTATGAAACTACAATAGATATTTAAATAGGTTCATTATTTATAGTTAAACTGAGTACAGCATTAAGTTGTTTTCTCTGAAAGTAGCGACACTTCTTCCAGGAAGTTATGTCAGCCACCTAACCGCAAAAATCAACAGGTTCTTACTTACTTTTAAACATACTTGGAGGACAAGCAATGCGCAGTGTATTTTTGTGTTTACCTGTGATTTAAGGTTAGGGTTATTGTATTAGTGAACTTTTTTGTAGAGTGATGATGAATCAGCGGCGAGCAGCGGAAGAGACGAGAAGGAGGAGGACGGAAGAAGCGCGATGAAGATACTGTAAACAGTAAACACACACTTTAATGGCAGGGATGTTTTACTCACTTCAGGTTGTACATTTTGTCCTGTCGTTTAATAAATTTCCCAGCATGAAGTGTCGTGTCATGTGGCGTAATGAGGCTGGGGTTTCTGTAAGCATATTGTTTATCTAAAAAAAACGTGTACATCATGACTCAGTCATAAAAGTCAGTCATAAAACAGAAAGTTGGAGCTGTAATTTACCCAAAGTACACAATACACACACCCAGACCAAAAATCCCCCAGAAACCCCTCAACTTCCCATAACATTAAGCACCAGCTCGCCAGAAAACAGCAATGATCTGACCCCAGTAGGGACACGTTCCCCCTGAATGGGGAGATGGCGTTGTCACGTGGGCATTTATGAGAGGAATCAGGGATGAGGTAAATCTCCCGGATTACAGTGTTTTTCTGAGATTAATAGCCCCAGCCATCCAATTAATCCAGGATAATCCCCCTGTGGGAGGAGGGGGTTGACGTGGAGGGGTAAAAGCTAGCGGCAGATGTTTTCATCAGGGTTTCTTTTTAATGTTTATTTACTCATACATTCATTCAGAGAGGCTGAGTAAGGGCAAGTTTGGGTTTTTTTTTGCATTACTGGTAATGTTTCTTATGATTGTGAAGTCACTGTGTTCTTACCACACCATCACCAGACTTTGAAATCATTTTTTTCCCTCTGTCTGTGCTCTCTTTACATTTTGATGACATAAACCGTTTCTGTTTCAAAAATAGTCACCTCTATTTACACAAGTTCTGGCATGATCTCCTCGTCATCAAGTCTACAAGTCTGTCGCTCACTCTGCATATTTCTGCTCACTGTTGCCTTTTTTGGTGCTCGTGACTTATGCGCTATGAGCACCTAGTCCCGTGTTGACGTTGAAAGCCTGATTTCCTGTGATAGACGAGGTCATTGTTGTCATCAACAACACATCGTGCTAGGCCTCGCGTGTTCTTGGCTGAATCTTTGTCAACATGACGCTCTGTCTTGTTCACCGAGGGAAAATACATGTGAATCAAGCCAAGTTTCTTTATTTTATTTGTATAGCGCCAAATCATAACAGAAGGATCTAAGGTACTTTTCATATCGAAGAGAGCTAGACCACATTCTTTACAATGAAACAAAATGAAAATAAAAGCGAGTGATTTGTTGTGTATGAGTCACCACATCCAGGAATTAAAGAACTACCTTACCTCTGAAATCACTGATAACTGCTCAGGCTTTTCGGGGTAATTTCTTACAAAATGTTTGAATCACAGGTAGTCAGGTTGGGTCATGAACTATGACAAATGTAACAAAGGTTGTAATGATGTAATGTGAGGGGGTGTGTGTGTGTGTGGAGGCTGAGTCCTTCATGGATGGTGACAGGATGCATGTGCGGTGCTTGCTTCCTGTCAGGCTGCTGAGACGGGGGCGAGAGAAGAGAGAGAAAACATTCTTTAAGACACCCTCACACAGAGAGGCTCACGTCACACCCTTCCAACACAACAGACCTCATCACTTCACTGTGGGTTTATATATGTGTGTGTTCAAGCCTAAAGTGCAGGTTGAGGCTACAGTAAATGCATGCTCAGCGGCTCTGCTGACAGCCATGATGAACTGTGTACTGAAATGTGTGTGTGCATGTGTGTGTGCGCTCTTGTGTGTGTGTGTATGCTACTGTGGACTGAAATTGCAGCCTCAGCAGGGAGAGAGCGGGACACAGTGGGATTGCTGCTGAGGGACCAGCAGGCAGCGGTGAGGGAGGGGGAGGGGGGAAGTGGGAAGATGAAGAAAGTGGAGTCAGAGGTTTGAGTGGGAGACGTTTGTGGGAAGGCAGAGTGATCTGAATGTGGGTTATGAGGAAATGAAAACAAAGATGTCAGATTGCACCTTATGTTAAAAACTATCCCACACCGCACATAATGAATACATGTATTTCCCTGTTTGTAACAAGGCAGAGTGTCCTGTATAAAGCGGGGGAAAGACGTCTACGACATCCTTCTCGGTTAGAATCACTGGTGTTGACGCTCTGTGAAATTATATAGTCACAATCAAATAAGCAGGAATCAAATTCAGGAACGTGTGGGTGTGATCATATTTGACTGATAGCAGACAGTGGACGACACTCTTCATCCACACCCACAACTGTCATCGCATTTTACTCCAGATATTCATAAACTAGTATAGAAAATGTGAGATTTATGTAGCTCTTATAGCAAGAAACCGAGAAAACAGGTGGACTTAAAGGTCATCAGGGAAGAGACAACAAGGCATCCTGACTGTTGATACACTGTACCAACTGCGTCCAATTCATTATTGACTTACAAAGTACATTATAATGTGTAATCTCTCATATTTAGCATTATTAATGGAAAGCTTAATGGACTTTTGAGTTTAATAGTGAGTGGTGACCATCATTTCATTTCAACCAAATTGCCTTCAGGGAAAAGAGGATTACACCAAACTTAATGGAATATCCTGTTTGCTGAACCGAGGGCACAAGGTTACCCTCTAAATTCTGGCTTTTCTTGTTGAGCACAGTACTTGATCAGTAATCTTCTTAAAGGATATTAGTAAGTATGGGAATATTTTATATTTTTATTTTTGTCAACAATCCCATGAAAAGTCCAAAACTAATAATAAACTGTTCCCATAAACATGTTCTATCTGTGTAGCCAAAGTCTGATATACAGGCGGGATACAAATTAAAGGAAAAACCTGAATAAACATAATGAATAAGAAACATAACGAATGCAGATGCTTCCACACCGCACTGCATGGTATAATTAGCATCCAGTCATGCTCTGTGGCAGGTATAAAAATGCTGAGCAGGCCGAGTTGATTCTGATTTGGTATCAAGTTGGCAAGAAGAAAAGATATAAATGACTTTGAAAGAGGGTTCATTGTTGGGAAACAGATAGCAGGAGACACAAAGACTGCTCAGCTGGCTATAGTGTTTCATGGTGTCCAGAGTTTTGTAGAATCAGTGCCAAAGCACATTGATGCGTACACATAGCTTAAAATTTTTTTTTTCAAGTATGTATTTCTGATTTGTTTTCAAGGTTAACGTTTTCAGCAGACTAACATAATGCAGTGTTGGTTGTGGTCTTTTCATAGGATTTGTTGACAGGAACAAAAATATAGAATATCACCAGCCTTATCTATATACCCATATATCCATAGTTATTCAGTTTGAATTATTGGTGTGTGGTAAAGCCATGTCAGCCATGACACATACTATACATGCATATATATATGTGTAAAATAAGCAGAAACAATAGATCTATCCGTGCATTTGATATAACCAGTGTGCTATGTGCTGTGTGCTGTTTTCTGAGATTTTGCTTATTCATTTTGCAGTATAATAGGTTGTAATATCATGGAAGAGAAAAAGATGCAGATGCGTTTCATTTCCCAGCAGAGCAAAAATAAAGCAAATTAAGTCTGTTCTGACATTTCATCATTGCAACGTTTTACTTTTTCCCTGAGGTCAATGACAACATGCTGAAAACAAAGAGAAAACATTTAGGGCAAGAGTTACTTTGTGTGCAGGGGGGCAGCAAACACACGCAGCTATGCAGTGGCCTAGAGAAGCTCAGATTTAATCTAACCCAAATAACAAAATTCAGCCTTCACCCTTTTCCTCTGAGGGCTGTTTGTTCAAGCGGGAGGGGGGGGGCGCGTTTCAGCATAACGTCATTCAACACAAAAACACGGGATAACCCCATATGACCACGTGCGCGGTAGGAAAATCAGGTTTGACGTCAATGTCCATATCAGGAGTGCCGGGTAGGCCATATATGGTCGTTCCGCATCTGACGTTTGTCTCCGGTGGAAAACGAGGAGGGGCCGCGGCGACTCCGCCCCTCCCACAGCTGTTATCAATGAACAAGTGAAACTCAAAATCTAAAGCTGAATTTAATCGAGCTTACGGAGAAGTGCTCTCCAGATACATTTATAGTAGATTTTAAAAACACTTCCTAACGTACTTTATCATCTTTAAGGTGTCAAAGAAAAACACTAAAACCGGATTAATTTTTTTATTCGATATTTTTAGTTTTAGAAGAACAAATAGTTTATTATTTATTAGGCTACATTTAAAATATTTTAAAAGCAATTTTGCAGCCATGACTTCAAGCAGCGAGCCTTTGGAAATTACTGGCAATGAGCTGGTTCACATACTCAGGACCCCCCAGGACCAGTACACCTCTGCTGGGTGTGTGTTGCTGGACTGCAGACCTTTCCTCGATTTTTCTTTTACACACATTTGCGAGTCCCGAAACGTCAACTGGAACTCCATGCTGCGTCGAAGATCCAAGACCAGTATGGTGGCTCTGGAGTGGCTCATCCCGGACAAGGCGCTCCTGGGTCGGCTGCGGCGCGGGGAGTTCTCCCCTGTGGTGGTGGTGGATGACAGAAGCCGCTCTGTGGCCGAGCTGAAGACAGAGAGCGTGGCCCAGATGCTCCTCACCGCCCTGCAAAACGAGGTCCAGACGCAGATCTGCTTTCTACAAGGTAATAAGACTTAGATTCATTTTCAAACTATTTTCATAATTAAATTCATTATTATAGGCTACTGTTGAAATTGAGTTTTTGAAGTTGCAAGAAAAAAACGAGCTATTTTTGTAATTAAAATGTATTACTTTAGGGTACTGTTGAAGTTGATCTTTTGAAGTTGCAAGATAAAAAAAAACATGAGCTACTTATGTGTTTACAAATATCTGTGCGCTGAACATATTAATATTCTATATTAAGTATAAGGATGTAACTTGTTTGTAAGTGTAAAACCCTCCATAATGAAAACTAAAGGATAACAAACTTTTTTTTATTGAAAACATTTAAAATATGTATATACAGACTTCCTTTTCATGTTCATCATTACTATTGTGAACACATAACAAATTTTTAAGAAGGACTTTGGTGGGAGCCGAAGCTAATGCTATGTGATCTCCATTTAGGTGGATTTGAGGGATTTTCAGAGGCCTATCCAGAGCTCTGTTACAACTCTGCCAGCAGCCACTTCTCTACAGTGGAACCAGAGCCAACAGTGACGGGTCGGAGGACTCCAGCATATGATCAGGTAAGATAGAATTCACCTTTATAACAGATGATACATAATGTCATCAGTCTAAAAAGTTTTCTGAGTAATGGAAAAATCTAAAGAATGAAAGTAAGATCAAAATTCATAGTGATTGTTCTTGGCTTTAAACATGGACTCTGTTTTGATTTTTGGTAAATTTCAGGATGGTCCAGTGGAGCTGCTGCCCTTCCTGTTTTTAGGCAGCGCTATCCACTCCTCCCGCCGAGAGACCCTCGCAGCAGCAGGCATCACGGCTGTGCTCAACGTTTCCTCCACCTGCCCCAACTTCTATGAGGGGGAGTTTGAGTACCTGCGGCTCACAGTGGAGGACAGTCTGGCTGCTGACATCAGAGCCTGCTTCTCCACAGCCATCGCCTTCATCGGTGAGTTTCCCCTCTGAACATCTGAATACCTTCCAACCTGTGTACAGTGTAATCTTAAAATGAAAGTTCAGTCGTGATTTGCTCTTTGTAACGTCAGTTCAAACTCCAGTGAAGTTAGTAGACCCACCGCACACACTTTTACACACTGGATGAAACATGAAACATCCAAAACATTTCTCTAAGCAGCTTGTACACCATAATCCATTTTGTTGGCTAGACTTAAGGACCAACAGTGTAATCATCTGGTTACAAAACACCTGGATTATGCTGCACAAGAAGAAGAGAAAAGTATTAACATTTCTTTTGCTTGTTTTGAACCCTTTTTTACTTGAAAAGTTTAGTTCGGAAGAAGTTAACTTTTGAAGTTGAATTTCCATTCCACACAGTGAATAATGACTGCGTTTTCATTTCTGGGTAGACTGCACCCGCTGTCAAGCTGTTTAAAGCTCTATATGTATTTCCGCTTGTAAAACGCTCTCAGTGATGTCAAAGAAACTAATGTGAAATGGAGCACAATATGCTGATCTCTCTTCCTCTTTCCGTCTCGTCTTTTCCGTCCCGCCTACAGACTCAGTGAAGCAGAGTGGTGGACGGGTGCTGGTGCATTGCCAGGCAGGTATCTCCCGCTCTGCTACCATCTGTCTGGCCTACCTCATGCACACGCAGCGTGTCCGGCTGGACGAGGCCTTTGACTTTGTGAAGCAGCGCCGTCATGTCATCTCCCCCAACCTGGCCTTCATGGGACAGCTGCTGCAGTTTGAGACTGACGTTCTCTGCCAAGGATGAAGACCCACAAGTATTAAGAGGAAGGAAATTTAAATGACCGTACTTTTTTAGTTAAATCTCCTGCCTCCTGTAGGCATTGGGCTGGACTCAGAGCTTTACCAGGACTCAAAACATTTGTACAAATACGCTGTTTGTGCTATTAAAACTATTACTCAATAGAAGTAAATACAGAAGTAAATAAAAATGTGCGGTCAGAGAAAAGCTACTTGTGTTGCTGGCATCACATGGCTGGTGGATCTGGACTCGTACTTACAGCGGAAACTGACAAATGGCATCCTGATGCAACAAACAGTGTTGGCAATATAAAACCCCACTGTAATAACCAAATTATGAACAATTATGATTCTGAGCCAGGGAGTCGGAGCAGCTATGAGGTAATTCCCCATGATGTTTTGTACTCGAGGGGAGTTGTGCCTGCTTGTCTAGTTTTGTGTTTGTCTGTGTGTTACGTTGTTTGACTTATGTGCCTGATTGTTTGCAAGGGCTGTCTTATTTTCATACTGGAAGTCATTCCCTCACAGTCACGACCACTGTGACGTGACTTATCTTTTTATGAGAGAACACTGTGTTAACTACGTACAGCAATACCGGATGAATTTCCAGTTTTATTGTCTAACTTATAAAAATGCACTAAACATAATTGGTGTCTCATCATAAGTCTAATCATTCTTTATCCTGAGATAGATTACACTTGGTACACTCAAACCTGAAAATGTTTTTTTTTTTTTTATCATGTAAATACTATTTTTATTTTTATTTATTTCAGAAACTGTTGTTGTAACGGTGTTAGCATTATTGCTGTCTTTTACTGCACTTTATACCTACAAGGTTTGGCTGATTCCTGCTGAAATAAAAACATGCTGGAGAACACATTGGGTCGGTTTACTCTGTACAATACTGTTCTTATTACATACACAGTGTATAACACACTTCCCTCCCTTTTCTGAAAAAGATAATGTCGATTGATAGTCACTGGCTCTCCAGACAAAGTCATCTCAGACCAGTGAGTACTCCGTGTGTTGCACAGAGCACATTACAGATGCATAGTTTCACACTGACCCTGCTGCACTTGATTCGCTCTTGCTGAATCAGGGGGTATTAAGACTGAGCATTGCTGAGTATTTTGGAGGATTATCCGCAGAGAATGGGTTTTACAGTCTGAAGTCCCTTTGACCTCAGCTACCACTGACACAAATTTCACTTCCGCTTACTCAACTTGTGAGAACAACTGTGGACATTTGACAGAGAGCGTTTGTCAAAAAAAAAATCAACTTGTAAGAGTAGAAAGTCATAATCAGGAAGTTTGGAAAGTACATATCATATGGGAGGCCAAATCACTGATTGGTTTGTAGTCATGATATATCAGTGAAACTGTACCTTCGTGTTGCATAGCTGTGTAGCTACATGCAGTATGCTGTCGCTGTGGTGTCTCAGTGTGGCGTTATAGCTGTTTCCTGGTTTTGTTAGATTTAAGCTGAACTATTACAGTTAAGACACCCACACTGAGCTACATATGAACATGTCAACCACAGGTTTCCACAGTTCACAAGAATGTTGCACAGTACTTCATAGCATCATGGGTAAAAATCACCTTTCCAGACGCTGCATTTCTACACAATGCACAGCTGAATTTTGAGCACAGAATTGTTTAAATAATATCTTTAGTATCTTTTTTTTTTTATTAAGCAAAATGCAGTTAACTCTAAACTTGACCAATCCAGATGAGATGACAAAGGACTGCCACTAATAGTGCATTAAAGCACCAGCCGCCACCACTACCTCATCCCCGGATGCCAATTATGCCACCCACATTCCTGTGTCGGCCATAGCTACGATAATCCACTTCCTCTCATTTGCAAGTATCCATTGCCCAACATGAACTCAAGAGAAACTGTTGTACTTGACTTCTTCCTTCCATTACTCCACAGTTTTCCATATGAGTGCAGAGGAATGCACATTGTTTTTGAGGTTATGGATACGACTGAGAGGTCACTTCATCTGAAACCCAGAAAAATAACGTTGTTGTTTGTGCTCATTTAAACTTTAACAGTCGCCTTCAATTTAGGTCATTAGAAACAAATTTCACTGGGTGTTTTCATAAATCTTAGCTGGCTGATTTCATCCACCTGCAGTTCTAAGCCTTCACCTGTTAAGGTCCTGCTATACAACACACTTATATATTTGTGTGTGTGTGTGTGTGTGTGTGTGTGTGTGTGTGTGTGTGTGTGTGTGTGTGTGTGTGTGTGTGTGTGTGTGTGTGTGTGTGTGATGAATTGTTAATGATTAAACCAGCAGTTCCCAACCCCTTTGCATGTGACCCCTTTCATAAAAAGCAGTGTGGTATTTGTTGTCACGTTTCAGATGGAGCCACTGGACTTGACTAACTACATTTATATAAATAAATTAGCTCCACCTCGACCGGCTACAACAGTAAAGTGCTGCATTCATGCATCAGCATTAACAATCCCAATCTAAGTAGTCATAAGCCATTTCTCTGAAGAGTATTTTTACTTTAAATACTTAAAGTCCATTTGCTGAAGGTCGTTCTACATCAAGTAGGGCTGTGAATACAGGGCTTTCATTTGTAATGTGGTATTTTGACATTGTTGTACAGGTATTTTTACTGAATTAAAAATAAATATTCGATTAGTCAAGGTATAATTATACTTAAGTAAAATATACATGAGTATTTCTTCCACCACTGCAAGAATCAGCCAGATGATTTTTCATCACCAAAACAGTGTCACATGTGTTGGAGATGAGTTTGTAGTGGGACAGTGCCCTCTACTGGCAACTTTTGAAATTACCATAAATCAAGATGATGCAGAAGTATCCAGCAGATGACACCAGCAGACTATTTATTAACTGCTGCAGCCTCTTTATTACCAAGATAACACAGAAGAGCCACGTGTACACATTTCTCACACACACACACACACACACACGCAGCACACACACACACACACACACACACACACATCTGTCTGTACTGTTCCCTAATACATGATTGTCCATTAACATATTTAAATGACTTTTAGTGTCATTTCACTTGGTCATTTATTTATCTCTGGAGGCAGAATGTTCCACCTCCCTTTCATTTGAACGTCTCTTTCATCTCGTCTGTTGTCCTCAGTTCCTCCTCACTCAGTCAGGCTCCTTAATGAAAACAGACCTAAACCGTTTCTCACGCTCCGTGTCCACATTAAACTCATGTCAGGCTCAATCATATTACATTATGCTGTGGCAATACTTACCTATGACGTGTATGTGTGTTTGCGTGTGCACGTGCCTGCATTGTATGCACACGAAGAAGGAAAAGAAGAGCATGAGGGATAAGGGATTTGCACAGGGATCACACTTGTGTTAGATATGGTGATTTCTACTATTTGCTATTCACAGTTGAAGACTGCGTCACTCAAACAAGGAATCTCATTCAGGAAAAAATACTGCAAATAAATAATATGAGCAATATTTGTGATATTATTAGGTGGATAATTACAATGTGAGGCTATAACACATAGATACTCCAGCCTGCAGACACACACAAGCAGCAGTTGTCATCATTACAGATGCAGTCAGGAAATTACTGTTTGACCATCCAGGAGTGCTCCCTGTAATCGTTTGCAGGGTGCACACACACACGGAAACACTGCTAATGCTTTACTTCTGAGGAACCATAACGCAGGCCAGTGGAAGGGGTCACGAGAATATGAACAGCATATATATTTTGCTATGTATATTTTTTTGAACTTTTTAATATTTGTGATTTTATTGTGAAATACTAAGTACTTTTATGTCTTTGAGTCTGTACAAACATTAAAATAATAAATCTGAGGAGAGGAAAACACTAGTTATTTGGCCTGTTGTGACTCATAGTCAAATGCAGCCTGTGACTAACTCTAACCTTAAACATGCCTAACTCCAACCAGTACCTCACTGAATCTAAACCTATCTAAACCTGAGCCTTCACCCCCTGAGGAGCCAAAATTCCCTCACTCTTCTAAATTGTTCTCACTCTCAAGGTCTGAAAATAAAACCGGTCCCCACAAAGATAGAGGAGAGTACACAAGCACACAGAAAACAGGAAGCCAATAACTAAAAACAAAGGGGGTCTAAATTGAAAGCCTCCACAGGGCAGCTACTGTGCTGTAATTGATCTGAACCTGAACCAACCTAACATTATGCTGACCTTGCTGCAGTTAACCTGGCGCTTCCTTGGAAGACAGCCTTTAAATGCTTCTTCCTAGTTATGTTAAATCTTACCACACCGGGGGACTTCAGGGATTGCTTTGAAGAGAATTGAAGCTTTTTTCCAAAGCACATAAAAGTTTCCTCAAAGAGTGGGTGCCCTCTCTGGACCAGGTGCAAAACCTCTCCAGTCTGCGTGTCAAGCGAGAGTTACTGATCCCCTGTGCGTGATCTGTGACAGGAGAACTTCCTCCAGGCTTGTACATTATGCTGTGGCCCGTGTGTGTGTGTGTGTGTGTGTGTGTGTGTGTGTGTGTGTGTGTGTGTGTGCGGGCGCGTGCGTACGTGCGTGTGTGTGTACACGTTTGTATACCACATGCTCTTATACAACAAGCACTTCAGAAGCTGGTGTACTGTGCACTGAACGCTGTGTGCTGTGACACACCCCTCTCCCCCAGAATGCATTTTCAGCGTGTTACCGAGCACAGTTCACCCACGGAAACAGAGACACTTGATTGGAGTGCACTCTCCCGCTAAAAGCTTTATTCTCTTTCCCTTTATATTTAGAATGTGTAGCGTGGAGAGAGAAAATGTACAACCATTATTGGCTGCAGCTTCAGGTCACACAATCAGAGAGCACAGAGCTCCCAATTGTAATTCCATGTGTAGCTCGCTGGGTTCCTCTCTCATTAAAGCAGCAGCAGTGTGCGTGAGTGTGGGGGGCGGGGGGGCACACTACAAAAACAAGTGAGCAGGACCTCCTACCCACATATCATTCATAAGACTGTGTGTGTGCATGTGTAGGCTGGTGAATGTCTGTGCATGTGTGTGTATTGTTTGTTTGTTATTGTGACTGTGAACACAGAGGCCACCCACCTACTTTCAAACACCACGAGGTAAACTCTGCCACTGTTTAATTTGTGGCTCGGTAAAAGCAGCCAGCATGACGTAGGTTTCACTCTGTAATTGAACAATCGGCCACTTGATCCCAGGTAGGCAACAAACTGTGAGGGAAGCCGTGGATGTCCGTGCTTCTTGGAGGAGGAGGAGTGGGGGGGGGGGGTAATAATGCAGAGGGGGAGTCAAGTGATGATGCAAATGCATGAGCACAGAAAGAAAGACAACAAGTGCCGCCGTGTACCCCGCACAATGAGCAGAGGTGGAAGGTAACGCAGTGCATTTAAGTTCTGAAGTAGAGGCGGCTGAGCACGAGGAGACTACAGATTTCATAAGGGAATAATTCAATTTGACTGAAAGATGTATGGGCTGCTTGTAAAAGCCGGTTTCTTTGCAGAACACGGGTTTCATATGCAAAAACCTGTACCCTCATAAAATACCTGATTTGTTGTTTGAGATTAAAAGTCCTCAGTGGAGTAGACGGACCCCATCCGGTTTAATGCATGAATAATGTAAGCACTCCGAAGAGGAGCGTTCCACAAAATGAAGGTTTTCGTTTTATTAGAATATCCTCAATTTGTGGAACTTTATTAAGATTATTTCTCTACATTAAAAAAGAAGATTACACTAGTTTCTCACCGCTGAGAATAGGCCCTGCTTTAACAAGATGTGTTCAGTAGATGACCACGATAAACCATACACTGCAGCATGGCCAAGCCATGAGAAAGAAAAAAAAAAAAAAAAAATCAGAGAACAGGCTTGTGACCAGGTTAACGTGGGTGTCTCCGTCTCCAGCTGCTGGAGCTGCTGAAGGTTTGGCTGCATGGTGGAGTAAAGTCTGTAGATGCAGAGATCACACAGAGAAGCATTGATCAGCCATTTGTGCAATGCCACATATTAGAGGGAATGATGATGATGATGATGATGATGATGATGATGATGATGATGATGATGATGACGAAGATGATGATGAGGATGATGATGATGATGATGATGATGGTGATGAAGAATTACTGAGTAGTTGCTCAGCTGGGCACCCCAGCGTCCCGTGGAGTTAATTGACCGAAGCAGTGCCACCCAGCATTTCTAATGTAACTGCGCTGGTGTATGTTTGATGTGAGAGAGAGGGAAAGAGGGAGGGAGAGGAGCTACGGGGATAGAGAAAGTAAGGATCCCATGACGCCCACAGCTCCACAATGACATCACCGGCTCTAAAAAGAAGCGGAAGAGGGAGATGGGAGGCACCCCACTTATTAGATTTCGTCGTAAGGTCCTGTTCACAAGTGAAGATGCTGCTGCGCCTCTGTGAGGACGCCTGTGATGTGCGCCAGCGGAGCGGCTGAATCTTGGCATCCTGGTGAACTTCTGAGGACACAGAAGCGCCAAGGCACCGATAAAGGACTCCCGAGACGCACAGACTGAAGCTCCTCTGCAGGGATCATTTCACTACTGAAGAAATAACGCGTTATTAACCTCATATCTGGCTTCGTGCGCAGGGCTGGAGAGCTTGAGGTTAACTTTGAGCTTTCTCTTGTTCGATTGGGTGGAAGCGTGAGCATCAGCGCAGGCTATCCTTCGCTTTTTTAATTTTTCAATCTCTGTAAATATTGCGTTAGATTAACTTTATTTCACCTTATATGTCATTCTGTGATCCCTGCTCACATGAGACGGACAGGTATGTGCGCGTCTCCAAACGAGGACGCACGGGGATGTGGCGAGAAGTGTCGCGATTATTCACTCTAATCCAGTTTCTTATGTTCATTGTTCGATTAAGCCAAAATTTGATGACTATAAATTAAATCATCCCATATTCAAGACAAGAAATCAATCCACTGATGAAAGAAAACGGACCAATCATGATGCGTTAAAGAAGTTTTAGCTCTTCGGGCTGTATTGTAACTCTGCAAAGGTTGAAGCACAGCAATCAGCGTCACAAAAAATACTTCTGTTTTGCGGGAGGAAAATCTGTCCTACAAAGTGCTAAGGCGTTTTAATTGAAAGGCACTGATCCGTGTCTTGACGCACTGCCCAGGACTGTTTGTGTGCTTAAAATGGACTTGGAAGACCTTCCGTGGAGGATGCAAGGGAGCTAACGTTTGGAAACGACACAGAGACAAAACGAGAACAGTTGAGGTAAATATGACACATTATAATCACATGTATTGTTTCAAATGTCAACACATTATGTTTTTGTGCGCAAACAACATATGACAATCTTATGAGAAATATTAAAAAAAAAAAAACTTTAATGTGACCAAACAAACATATATCTGTATATATTTTGTATCTGTAAAGACTCCTGGAAATCTAATCCCAGCATGGCCTCGGTTCTGGACAGCGGCTGCTCCATGGAGCTGAGCGGCTGGAACAGCAGTGTGAGCAGCTCCGGAGCCTCCGTCCCCTGCAACCAGAGCGTCCTGCAGCTCGCCCCTTACTCCCCCGAAGCCACAGCGGCCTTTGCCACCGCCATAACCTTGATGGTGCTCTTCACCATTGTGGGGAACATCATGGTCATCATCGCTGTCCTCACCAGCCGGTCGCTGCGAGGTCCGCAGAATCTGTTCTTAGTGTCACTGGCTGCTGCGGACATTTTAGTGGCCACACTCATCATCCCCTTTTCTCTGGCTAATGAACTTCTTGGTTACTGGTACTTTAAATCTCTGTGGTGTGAGATCTACTTGGCGCTGGATGTGCTGTTCTGCACCTCCTCCATTGTGCACCTGTGCGCCATCTCACTGGACCGCTACCTGTCAATTTCCAGGGTTACTTACGGGCGTCAGCGGACTCCCAAGCGCATCAAAGCCGCTATTGTGGTGGTGTGGCTCATCTCTGCCATCATCTCCTTCCCTCCCTTGCTCTCACTGAACAAAAGCGAGGCAGGGGAGCTGGGAACTGAGAGGGGGCCACAGTGCCAGCTGAATGATGAACGCTGGTACATCCTTTACTCCACCATCGGCTCCTTCTTTGCCCCATGCCTCATCATGATCCTGGTCTACATAAGAATCTACCAAATAGCCAAACAGAGAACACGCTGCCCACCAGGAGAGCCCAGGAAGGATGGGGTCGGCTGTGCCACACCGAGTCAGCCTCCACGGCATGTACAGGCCAATGGGAAGGATGAGGAAGAAAGCACACCACCTTCATCCAACAAAACCTCCAATGCCAGACCCCCCACCCTTGCCATCACCCCTTCTCCATCCCTAGGAGAGTCTCAAATCTCCCAGAATGCCACAGCCAATAATCTCCTGCAACCTCCGTCCACTTCTCCAGCCATGACCCCTACCACAGCCTCCCTTGATACCTCTCCCCATGGCCCCTCAAGCCCCTCCTCTGTGCCTCAGTCTGCCCCTGCCAAGACTAAAGAGAAGGGGAAGAAGGGCAAGCGGCAGACAGGAAAGAAAGCCGACAATAACAATGGTGACAGCTCAAGCACAGAGAGCGATATGGAGCACAGCCACGGTGGAGGCCGAGGCAGCACCAGCATGCCAGGGTCACCTGGAGGAGGAGGGGTCCACTCCCCGGCCTCAGTCAAGCGCTACCGGGACATGCTGGCCACTTCAAAGGGGGCTCGGCTGGTGCCCGGGAGGAAGTCAAAAACGGACAACAACCCTGGAGCAGCGAGGCGTAAAGCTATGGTCAACAGAGAGAAACGTTTCACCTTTGTTCTGGCAGTGGTCATCGGCGTGTTTGTGGTGTGTTGGTTCCCATTCTTCTTCTCCTACTCTCTACAGGCAGTGTGCCCAGAGACCTGCGCCATCCCCGATCCACTCTTTAAGTTTTTCTTCTGGATCGGTTACTGCAACTCCTCACTCAACCCAGTCATATACACCATCTTCAACAAAGACTTCAGAAAGGCCTTCAAAAAGATACTGTGCGGTGGCACTAAGGGTACTTTCTTTTAACATATAAATCCACTGTATAGGACATGGACACACACACAAAAAAAAATAGCTATTTCTGAGGCATAGAAAATAAACAATCATTTCCATTTTTCGGAACACTGAAAGGGCTGTTTTAAAAATATGTTGAACTGTGGAAATTCCAGCATAAAATTCAGAACTGAGAGCCACTCTTTTACAGCCACAGTGTGTGCAAACAGGCAACTTAGACTGTGAAATCCCAGCTCGCAGCTGATACACACATAATTTTTACAGGGTGCGGGTGAAAACAGGACATGGAACAGAGGCAGAGCTCAACTACACTAAACTGCGTACCACTTCAGTACTGCTGATAAGATTTTGAATGAAGGTTTTCTCTCCAGATCACACTGAATAATGAATAATACTATGAGAAAGAGTGGTGCAACATCACAGAAGAAGTATGCACTCACTCTATAAAACTGACAGGTCTTGAAGAATGCAGGAAAACTATTGAGAATTAACTCCTGGATGAGAATACAGACTGTTTAATGTATAATATATAAGGTTTTTGTTGTTACGGAGGACTCCAGGACTACTGGGGGAAAGAAGACAGGTAAAAAGACGGAAAAGTGACCTTAGATTCCTATGAGCCTGGGGCCCTTTCTTTATCAATACAGAGCACAAGGAGCACACAAGGATAGTGGTGATTTCTTACGTCTGCAGTCTTAATTTGCCAAGCTGCAGGGCAAACATGTGTTCCTCAACCTTATCTAAAAGCGCAACAACAAGCAGAGGTTTCTGTTGATCTCAAATGTAATAGCACAGACAAAGGCCCCCTTTCAAACCGAACTGAACTTGTGGACTTTTATGTGGAAAGCCTTCATGACAGACACCTTGCTCTTGGCTTGGCAGGGGTCACAGTGGACACTCAGGTTGCTTTCACTCATCATGAGATACAGAAGAAGCTGAAGTGTGGTGGACTTTGGAAAACCACATGTATGTAATTGAAATGTAAAAATTAGACAGCTTGACCCCCCCCCCACCGCCCCTCCCCTCCCCCTCCCTCATCCACTTAGCTTGCTGTTTCCTGCTTTTTAACTTGACCCAGGTCACCCCATCAGCGGCCTGGCCTGAGCATTCCTTCAAATGAACTGCCTCATTATTTGGACATTTAAGTAACATTCAAAACCATTTCTCCAATTATGGATGTGTAACGTTAACCCTAATTACGCCTACATGGGTTATTCTGACAACCGTTTGGCTGAGTCACTCTTTACCAACGTCTCTGGCACATCATCGCCTGCACTGGACCTCTACATGGCATATTTGGTTTGTTGCTGAGAGGCGACAAGCCAAATGTATTTTTCAGTTTTCTCGAACAAAAAAAAAAAAAGAAGAAAAAAAAAAGAGAAAAAGAAAAGAGAAAAAGAGAAAAAGACAAGAAAAAAAGAGAAAAAGAAAACGTGTCTGTTACCGTGAACAGCACACAGGTTTATTGACTCAATGGGACAAGGGCTGTCAGCAGCAACACTTCAATTTACTAATTGTCTAATTCTGCTGACCTGTGTGAGTGTGTGTGTGTGTATGACGTGCATGTGTGCGTGTGCGTGTTGACTTTCATGTTTTTTCTGTAGAAAGTGTCAGTGCCTCCTCTGGCTGCTATGTACTACAGATCTACTGTAATATTGATAAGAACAGAGACTAGATTTCCTGGCGCAGGCATCACATTGCTGTCTGTCATGTGAATGTTTCACTTGATGTAGAAATCAGTAGTATATCACTATGTTGAGAAAGTCTTATTGAGCTGAAAGGCAGTGTTTATCAGTGATGTTAAGTACATGGCTTTTTAGTGATCACCCTCAAGGGACCAAAAGGCCTTACAGGACACCAGCCTGACTCAGTGATATCTGGCTCTGTGTTGCTTTAATGAAGTATTACTTTATATTTGGTTTATGTGATGGGAGTCAAAGATTGAAAACACTGTATTATTTATTTCAAACTAGTTTGTGTTTTCTGTCTGTTACCTATTTATTGTTCGGTTACTGTGCTTTTATTCTGAAAGTCAAGCAAAGTGGAACTGATCAAAGAGTGCGAACACTGTACAGATTTTTTATGTGTTGAATAAGAGCAAAATTGATTCATGCCATCGAGCTCTTGCTTTGTGAGACTGATCTACACCTGAGCTTGGGGGATGTATTTGTGTTGAACTAAAGGAATGTGAACTTTGAGTTATGTGCATAATGCAGAACCTACAATGCAACATTTATCATCATTGTTTCATCTAGTTATAGTACGGTAAAATGTTCAATCAGACATACAAGCACATTCATGGATGTACAATTTATCAAGTATACTGCAGCAGGAAAACCTCTTCACCAGTGCTACTGTGCAAACTTTTTTTCCTGGAAAAGTAATCGACCGTGAACGTGTCAATAGCACCAGTAGCCAGTTTCAGTTGGATGACTTGCAGGCTTTGTGCAGGACATTACGGCTACAGTCCATACCAAACAGAGCCGCTTGGAGATTCAGATAACCGATTAAACAAAATGGTTGGGAGTACGAGCTCTGTGCACTTGTACAACTGTTCCCTGCCCTCATCTGAAAAGGTTATTTTCTCTCCAGAAATACAAACAGCTATAGCAACGCAATATTCATGCGGTCATGGATTCATGACTTTTTCCAATAAATATGAGTTGTAATGCTGCTCTCACCCCCCCCCCCCCCCTCAGATAACCGATTAAACAAAATGGTTGGGAGTACGAGCTCTGTGCACTTGTACAACTGTTCCCTGCCCTCATCTGAAAAGGTTATTTTCTCTCCAGAAATACAAACAGCTATAGCAACGCAATATTCATGCGGTCATGGATTCATGACTTTTTCCAATAAATATGAGTTGTAATGCTGCTCTCACCCCCCCCCCCCCCCCCCTGAGAGCAGCATTACAACTCATATTTATTGGAAAAAGTCATGAATCCATGACCGCATGAATATTGCGTTGCTATAGCTGTTTGTTATTTCTGGAGAGAAAATAACCTTTTCAGATGAGGGCAGGGAACAGTTGTACAAGTGCACAGAGGCTCGTACTCCCAACCATTTTGTTTAATCGGTTTATCTGAATCTCCAAGCGGCTCTGTTTGGTATGGACTGTAGCCGTAATGTCCTGCACCCTGCAATATCCAACTGAAACTGGCTACTGGTGCTATTGACACGTTCACGCGTCGATTACTTTTCCAGGAAAAAAAGTTTGCACAGTAGCACTGGTGAAGAGTTTTCCTGCTGCAGTATACTTGATAAATTGTACATCCATGAATGTGCTTGTATGTCTGATTGAACATTTTACCGTACTATAACTAGATGAAACAATGATGATAAATGTTGCATTGTAGGTTCTCTGCATTATGCACATAACTCAAAGTTCACATTCCTTTAGTTCAACACAATACATCCCCCAAGCTCAGGTGTAGATCAGTCTCACAAAGCAAAGCTCGAGTGCGATGAATCAATTTTGCTCTTATTCAACCATAAAAAATCTGTACAAGTGTTCGCACTCTTTGATCAGTTTCCACTTTGCTTGACTTTCAGAATAAAAGCACAGTAACCGAACAATAAATAGGTAAACAGACAGAAAACAAACTAGTTTGAAATAAATAATACAGTGTTTTCAAATCTTTGACTCCATCACATAAACCAAATATAAATAATACTTCATTAAAGCAACACAAGAGCCAGATATCACTGAGTCAGGCTGGTGCCTAACCTTTTGGTCCTTTGAGGGTGGATCACTAAAAAGCCATGTACTTAACATCACTGATAAAACACTGCCTTTCAGCTCAATAAGACTTTCTCAACATAGTGATATACTACTGATTTCTACATCACAATAAAATTCACATGACAGACAGCAATGTGATGCCTGCGCAGGAAATCTAGTCTCTGTTCTTATCAATATTACAGTAGATCTGTAGTACATAGCAGCCAGAGGAGGCACTGACACTTTCTACAGAAAAAACATGAAAGTCAACACGCACACGCACACATGCACGTCATAACACACACACACTCACACAGGTCAGCAGAATTAGACAATTAGTAAATTGAAGTGTTGCTGCTGACAGCCCTTGTCCCATTGAGTCAATAAACCTGTGTGCTGTTCACGGTAACAGACACGTTCTTTTTCTCTTTTTTTTCTTGTCTTTTTCTCTTTTTCTCTTTTCTTTTTCTCTTTTTTTTTTCTTCTTTTTTTTTTTTTTTGTTCGAGAAAAACTGAAAAATACATTGGCTTGTCGCCTCTCAGCAACAAACCAAATATGCCATGTAGAGGTCAGTGCCAGCGATGATGTGCAGAGACGTTGGTAAAGAGTGACTCAGCCAAACGGTTGTCAGGAATAACCCATGTAGGCGTAATTAGGGTTAACGTTACACATCCATAATTGGAAAATGGTTTTGAATGTTACTTAAATGTCCAAATAATGAGGCAGTTCATTTGAAGGAATGCTCAGGCCAGGCCGCTGATGGGGTGACCTGGGTCAAGTTAAAAAGCAGGAAACAGCAAGCTAAGTGGATGAGGGAGGGGGAGGGGAGGGGCGGTGGGGGGGGGTCAAGCTGTCTAATTTTTACATTTCAATTACATACATGTGGTTTTCCAAAGTCCACCACACTTCAGCTTCTTCTGTATCTCATGATGAGTGAAAGCAACCTGAGTGTCCACTGTGACCCTGCCAAGCCAAGAGCAAGGTGTCTGTCATGAAGGCTTCCACATAAAAGTCCACAAGTTCAGTTCGGTTTGAAAGGGGCCTTTGTCTGTGCTATTACATTTGAGATCAACAGAAACCTCTGCTTGTTGTTGCGCTTTTAGATAAGGTTGAGGAACACATGTTTGCCCTGCAGCTTTGGCAAATTAAGACTGCAGACGTAAGAAATCACCACTATCCTTGTGTGCTCCTTGTGCTCTGTATTGATAAAGAAAGGGCCCAGGCTCATAGGAATCTAAGGTCACTTTTCCTCCTTTTTACCTGTCTTCTTTCCCCCAGTAGTCCTGGAGT